AGTTTGTCATCCATCTTTCCTGGTCAGATCGATGTCTGAGGAGAGGCGTACGGTTACACCCAGCTCATGCGGAGAAGCTACCGTCGGGTATAGTTGCAAATGTCCTGCTATGTGTGGGAGGAGAGCGGCGAATGAGATCTGATGAAAAGAATAGTGCACAGTTTAGGACCAAACTCAAAAGTGGCAACATGGAGACATGGATGAAGCCAAGCGATTAGGAAAGCAGAGAGAATGCACAGAAGGTGGTAGGAGGTAGGAGAGAGGAGAGGAGGCGAGGAGGCAGCGGGGGTGACTGATAACATTGTCGGGTTGCCTCAAGGGCGGACAAGAGCACAAAGCAGGAGGAGATGCACAGAAAAGAGGGGAAAGCAGAAATTTACGGAGCACCCGGAGGCACATATGGGGGTGAGCAAAGATGGAGAGATGGGCTCGAAAAGATAACACAGCTGTGAGATAAACAGTGCGGGAAGAATGGACTGAACAAAAGAGCATGAGCAAGTAGAGTTCAGACACAGTGGGACGAGATGACAGTAGATTACAATACAGAAAAAAAATGTTTGCCTGTCAATTTTAAACTTGTCTAAATTAAGATTGTATTTATTTGCCAATAAAGTTTCACAGTGAGGCATATGAATTCGTAGATCGCCGAGTTTAACACATAACAGGCATGCCAAAATAGGCTAGTGAAGCATTAAGAAATTCTATACATTGGTGTAGCCAAAAATAATAACAATACTACTACTTGACTTTGTATTTCCTGTTTCAGAATGTGAAATACTATCTTAAGTAGAACATGTATGGTTAAAAAGTATGATGGGTAAAAACTGCTTTCTGCCTATTACAATACAATACAATACAATCAAATGTATTATTAAATAGCCCTAAATCACAACAGTAGTCATCTCAGAGGACTTAACAAAACCATTGAAAGGTTTGGACAATTTCTCAGGTGGATATGCAGAATACTGGTCTGGGCGTGATGTCATAGTGTCATAGATAAGAGGGGCAGGGATACATTTGTGCGCCAGGGATATCAGCCTTGATGGATCTAAAAAGAACTTCCGATCTGAGACTGATGAATTGCAACAATTATGACTGTAGGCTGAAAGCTCAAAACAGTAGATTTTGCATAATATGAATGTCTCCTGATATTTAACCACAACATGAACTTTGACCTGGCCAAGCATAAACAACATTAGTATCCAGTCCTGATTAAAGATTATTCTTAAATGATCAAATTACTAAAGGTTTTGAATGTGCTCCAGCATGGATTGGATAATTTAAAGCAGCCAACATTCAACTATCAAACACACCACAGACCGTGACTCAATTTGATTTTGTTTGGCTTTTGTTTTGTGGAATCAAGACTCAAGAATGCAGAACTAGCCAAGGGTGAAAAGAGGGAGTGCAAAATTGAAAGTGTGAAAATTATAAAGTGAAAATGGCAGGCAGCGCCATACACCAAGTTATTTCCAGAGAGAGAATAAACGCAAAGGCAAAGACAGATAAAGGTCATATGAAGAAGTGGGGCGCGTTTGAGCATATTGACTTTGGTCCGGAAAAACAAGCATGTGGGAGCATTACCCGAGCCGGAAACTGGAGTGCCCCGCTTGTTCTACTATAACCGACGCAAGCAGTTTCTCAAATGCTTAAACTAGCATTTTCTAAGGCAAAAATTTTTTGGAACAAACTCACTATGTCACAAGACAGCTGGGGACCTTCCAAGTTGACCTGTCTGATTTGTTACAGATTCAACTTCAAGTTTTAGAAGTATGTCACATGTTAAAGCTGGCTACTGTAGTTCCTCGCTCTCAAAACAGTTTGGTTCTATTATTTTCTGTTTATCATCAGTTTTCACATGCATGTATTTTTGGCCTCTGTCAGATCTATTTCTTAAGAGAGGACACCCCTCACTCAGGCAATCAGCTCTCAACGTACAAAGACAGCCATGTCAGTCACTATTTGAAAGTATGTAAAATATATATATATATATATTTTAAGACGAACTGTTCTCATACAAACAATGTGTTTGTGTCTGGGAGGGTGGACAGGTAGAAAGTTACCCCAGCTTTAAACTTTTTTTTTTTTTTTACTGGTTTAGCCTTTTTGCCATACTGACTGTATTTAAGCCTAAAATGTAATGAAAGCAGAACCTAGTTTTTGTCATAATTTACTCTGCAATTGATAATCAGGGCTGTAACCCCAAAGCGGCTCACACACTTTTGCATCGTCTATGCATTCGTTAACAGCTTTATAACACCTTTGCTAAGCACTCGCAGTACTGCATGTTTCTTCATCTATCGGGGCCAAAACGAGGATGAGATTTAGGACATTCTATCCGCTCTTGTAAAAATATAAAACATTACTATTGGAAGCACACCAAAGCAAAGTGTGGAGTAGGCAGCGAGAGCAAGAACGCCAGAATACTTTGATATCCGTTACTGCTTCCCAGGCTTGCCTTGCTTCAGCTATTCCAGTAGCAACGCTAATGGGAAATATTGAGCTGGGCAATTTGCATCTCGTTCTCAATGTGGCATGATGTATGGTGATGTGTGCTTGTAGGGGCAAGTCAAAGCATTGGTTTTTATTGCATACATCATGAACATCATCACAGAGCTTATGGCAATGCACACTTGCGAACATTGCTTAACATATAAATACAGCCATCTACCTGCAATGTCAATGTGTGAGTCACTGTCTCGATCCCAGTCTGCTCCGCTCTCCGACGGTTTCCAACACGCATGCTGTCACTCTGCTGAGGGTACAGTTGCTATGACAACTATTATGCATGCCAATCAGCCATCCGTGAATCATCCCTTACACTATGCCATGTTTTCGTTAGGTGGGACTTGTGTGACTGACTTCCTGCATGGCTAACAATACAACTGTCCGTCACAGAGGCACAGATGGCAGACAGATGCAGGGGAATTTCAAGGAAAGACCTGTGTTGAACCAGGCTGCAATGAGTGACCAATGAGGCTCTCCCCCAGATGATTTGCGACTAAATCTAGGCACAAAAGGGAATGTTGTGTTTGTTTCACCCAACAAACCAAAGAGCCTATAGTTTAAAATTGGGGCGGAAAACAGCTAAAATATCTTTTCTGGTAACCTTTTTAACTCCTTAGGGTGAATGTCTATTTAGGACTTTAAAAATAAGGAAAGACAACAATTTTTAATGTAAACGAATGGCAGTTCTAACCCCATGTTCCAACAGGGCACAAATAGTAATAGTATCAAATAGCTATCTGGGAAAACATCTGTACATGTGTTATTGCATCTTTCCCACAGAGTTGTTTTGGCACCTAAATACAGAAATTCTACAAGAAGAATGTAACCTTTAGTTACATTTGTGGTACGGTTAAGTCCCTAATGACAAGACAATAGAAGCTAAGAAGTGTATGGCCTTCTTAGCTTCTGAAGCTAAGAAGGCCATACGCCTACGTTAATACAGTTGGGCGGCTGTGGCTATGAATTGCCAAACTGTTGTGCCCTTAGACATAGTATGAGTTAGTTTGGTGTGAATAATTTGCTTTGGTTGAAGGGCCTCACTTCAGTCCACGTGAAACTACTGTGGGTGTCATGAAAAGCACTATATAATTACTATATATATTATTATTAAAAAAACTTATGTGTCTCTGCATATCTTTGTTATTTGTACAATGCTTTAATTGTTAGAAGGACAATACATTTTTTAACGATCCATATTCTAATTGAAAACACCTATTAACGTGTTGTTAATCATATACACTGAGCCGTAGTCCTGTATGGCACTATTGAAATCCTGTTGAAGTCCCGTGATATTTCGCCAATGCCTCTGCTTTTCCGGAGGCAAGGATAAATGCTTGTCGGCTGCTGACCCAATTTGCTTTCCTGACCCAGAGTCTTAAGAAATGTTTGTATGATATAACACCTGCTTAATCCGCTCTCAAGGGTTTCTAGGTAACCCTTGTGGGGGTCGGTTGTCATTTGGAATATTGAGGCAGGTGGTGTGGTGTTGCTCCTGAAAATTATGTATACATCTCTGGAAAAAAAACAAAAAAACAAAAACAACATGTGAGTTATTTGTATAAGTTTCTGCTTAGTGAAGTGGACAGAAAAGTAAAGAGGTGCTTATCGGAGGAGACCTGGGCCCACACAGAGCCAGTGTGGAGGACGAGTGTTTGTTCAAGCAGAGTCTAGTCTCAGTAGGAGGAAAGCTGCACGAACACGACAGCATCTCTTTAAACTTTAAAGATTAGTGAAAGCTGGAGAATTTTACTTTGAAACCACAAAAAATAACAATGTATTAAAATCAAAAAGATAAAAGTGTAAAAGATCGGAAGTTTATTTTCAATAAGGCATAAAGACAGAGTGAGTGTATAGTCGGATTTGATATTTCTTATACAAGAATATCTGTAGCGGCAGACTTTTTTCACACAAATCTTCAAATCTTGTTTTAAAATCACCCTCATTGACCTTACCCGTGAATTATGAGAATAATGTCTCCATAAAACTTATCTTTGTCCCATTGCTAACGTCTGTAAGCTAGAAAACAAAGTCCATCAACACTGGAATCTGGCCAAAAAAGGACAAATAATAAATGATAAAACTGTCATTAAGTTCATGCTGCCATGTCAAGGCTGTTTGGACAAGCTAACACCTGTGGATTAGCTTCTGTTGTGAGACATATAAACTGCCGCGAGCCATATAAAATGCTCGTCTGATTCCTTCTGTCTGGAGAAAAAAAAAGAACATTTAAATAGAAGCCCCCAGGATATTTGTTCTCAAGATCTCTGCGTAAGAATCTAAATTTCCAACAATAGCCGTACAATATCCAGTTTCTCTTTAGTGCCCAATTTGTTTCAAGAGATTAATTTTCACAACAAACCTGTTTACTTTCTAAACATCCTTCATCTTTCAAGTTGAACTCCATAGGCCAAGTTCTGATAATGCACTGATTGAGTTATGATTAGTTGCAGATGTAAAAACAAAAACCTGACAACTCTTTTCTTGTTTCATAGGTCTGTGGACTGACAGGCGCTCTACCATGCCTGTCCCCCCACCCCCAAGCCCCCACAAACAGACACATCCGCCCCATACACACCTCCATCGAGGAGCACGGAGAGAAGATAACCAAAGCACCAGGTCCATCCTCTCCCTGTCCCTCCATCCAACTCTGCTCATCGCTCATCCTTCACACCTCCTGCACTGTGCCTGCCCCCGGACGACCAGACGGACACTCCCGGACATTGCCACATTCCCGGCTTTCCATTGGCTCACGCTTCTCACATGCTGCCTCCTGCCATCACTGATTGGAGCAGGGGAGACGTGGGGCATGGTCTCCACCTGTCCTTTCCACTGTGTTTGTCGGAATCTATCGGAGTCTTTAAGTACGCTGTGTGCCGACAAGGGCTTGCTGTTCGTCCCCCCGAATGTTGACAGGAGGACGGTGGAGCTAAGACTGGCTGATAACTTCATTACAGAAGTTGGGGGTATTGACTTTGCAAACATGACTGGTTTGGTTGACCTGACTTTGTCCAGGAACACCATCCATCATATACGACCAATGGCCTTCGCAGACCTGGAAAGTCTCCGCTCATTACATCTTGATGGTAAGTCTAAGTCAAGCCAAAGTGTGACCTTTGGAAATCAATGCAATGTTGATTTTTGTGTTCAGGTAATCGCTTAACCATGCTTGGACCAAGGGACTTAGCTGGTTTGGTCAACCTGCAACACCTCATTATCAACAACAACCAGTTGGTCAAAATATCACCTCAAGTGTTTGACGACTTTCTGCTTACACTGGAAGACCTGGATATGTCCTACAATAACATGAAAAGGTACGTTTGCTGTTAATAATATAGAGTAAAACAAAAAAAGGCAGCAGAACTGGAGTCTTGAGGGTAGTGAGCCAAAATACAATTCTTAGAAGCGGGCGGCGTGTGTAAGCAAGCGTCAGCAAACACAGAAAAGTGAAGCAGCTCAAACTGCTGAGGCTCGGAGGCTGAAAAGTGAATCAATTTCGATGAGGTCCTAATTTTCTTTGACTTCAATTGCTAAGGACAAAAGGCAAGGCATTTACGATGTCTTGCCATGTCTGAACTTCCGGACAAAATAATAAGTACAGACAATGATAATATCCATTACCCTTTCACTACCAATAAACTTCAGAATTCCATCAGACAGCTTTAGCCTGTCAATGGGGAATCAAATGTTTCATTTGTCCCCCCCAGAGAGGCTCAGGCATCTCCCCAAGAAACCTTTACGCCCCAAAAGAATAGCTGCACTTTTTTATGACGCATGCATTAGCATCTGCCATTTGCCCTTTATGGATATAGGTTACCGAGTGCTATCGTTATGATTTCAAAATAAAGACATCTTTTTCACCTAAGAAAAAAGCAAAACAAATGCTGTGCCTGTATATTGTAGTTTGGAGAAGGTGAAGATCTGCAGCTGAAACATGTAATTATCAGCAACTTATTTAGTTCCAACCCATTTTACTCAGACAGCAAGACACAAAGGCACACTCAAATAAACACAGGCTCAAATGTGCTTTGCCCCTTCACCTCTACCCAATCACTTGCTCTCGGTTGAGGGCTCTTTCCTTCACTTATCACCCCAGTAGCATTTTTGAAACAATTTATGGAATAGAATCATATTTAAACATGAGTTCAAACATGAGAACAAGGGTAACTCCTCCCACTGAGATGGAAAAGAACTTTAAAGTAGTTCTAAATGTAGCTACCGCTACATCGATAATGATGTACAACTGTTAAAAGACACAAAGGTTGGTCCATTCCACGGCACAATTCAAGGACACAGGCTACTACTGCTCTGATGGTAGAGGACTATTATTATTGCAGAGTTAAAAAGGTCCTTGTTTTAAAATATACAACCTCCTACTTTTGTTCCGTGGCTCTGATCTAAACCACAAACACCATTTAATGAAGTCATTACAGCCTCGTTTCGGCTCATGGGTCTATTGTCAGGAGACACGGTATAGACAAAGAGGCTGACCATCTGCTGTTGTTTGCTGTAGCCATTATTAATATCCCACAGCTCTTCTCTTCCTTTCAGTGGTGTGATTAAAATCAGAGCTAACACATTTCAAACTCAAACAGAATAAACAGCAGTGCCTCCACTCACCTACAGTATAGGATTTTTTCTTCAAAAGGTAAATCCCCTCAGAAATCAATGGTCACCAGTATATTATAACCAAGCCTTCATGCTTTTTTGCTCACGACTAATTTGTTCAAAATGAGGTTTTGACAAGAGAGTGACTTGGAAATGACGGCTCACAGATGGGTTTGGTAAAACGTTGTGATTCAGGGACTGAGCAGAAAAATAAGCATCTGCTGTCACTGACTGTCATAATGTATTAGTCTCTGGTTAGTCTTAATTTGAGGAGAGAAGCGTGAATGGAAACATGTTAACTGCACATTTAGTGACAGGCCTAGTGAGTTGACATTCTGGAGCTATCAAAGAGGGCAAAGTTCACATGAATACAGATTACCATGATCTGACCATGTAGCTTAATTCTTCTCCTTTTCATCCATAAGTGCAAAGTCAAATTCAAAGTGCTTAATAAAAGCTGGAGTACTAACTTTAAAACCATAAGCATAAACACAGTTGGGTTCTATCACAAGAAATGTTGGCCTCTTTCTTTCACAAGTAATTTGCCCTCTTGAGCTTTTGCAGACAAAGCATTAAGGAGTGACTCAATATCCAAAGTAAAGTGATGTTTTTCAGTATAAAGTGTGAATAGTATGTTCTGCATCTTAAAACATGATTAAAACTGACTTTAAATTTGATGGCATGACAACACTAGCTGCTCTCTGAGACATAATAATCCAGGAACGGTTATTCTCAAAAGGGAGGTTCAAGAGAGAATTTTGTGAACATATTCCAAGCAAAAATGGAAAGAGAAAAAAGGCAACATCAATACAAGGCTTAAAATCTACAATTTTATCACGTTGCCACAAACCATGTTTAAACTGGGTACTGGAATATTTTCATTTCAACTTTTCCGTTTCTTTTTCCTTCAAGATTATCATGTTATTTAATCAGATTGACAAGAAAATACATTGGTTCTATGGATTAATCCCAAACAGCAACCAGTCTAAATGTGTGTGCATGTCCAGAAATGTGTGTAATTGCCAAAGACAAATGTTACTGCATGGACAATTAAGCTATTGCATTTTAACTCATTTTTTTCCCCTCACAGAGTTCCCTGGGAGTCCATTCAGAACATGGCCAGCCTGCACACGCTCAACCTGGACCATAATTTGATAGACCACATTGCGGAGGGGGTCTTTGGGGAACTGTATAAGCTGGCAAGGCTGGATATGACCTCCAACAGGCTGCGCACCCTGCCGCCTGATCCCTTCTTTGCCAGGTACTGCTTAAGATTGGCCTTTATTCCAAATGTTCCTCTAAGAAGTGGCTTAGAGAGGGTTTCTGAGGTAGACTGCGGAGGCAGGAAAGCGCCGCTGGCACCGTAACAAGTACTATACTGCTGTGAAAGCATTTAATTATTTATGGAAATGTGTGCAATACTAAGCACACGGTCTGCTGCTTTTGTCTGATCTGGAGGTGGCTTCAAACTGAAATCTCTCATTATATTCTTACGCAATTCCTATAACTTCAAGTCATAACTTACATACACAAAAAAAGCATGGCAATTTTGATTCCGGGCAAACACTGAAGATTTGTGACTGAATTTAATCAAGCCCGTTTGGTTACTGTCAAGCCAGTTCAAAATGTATGAATATAGGTTGTCTTTGTCTTGTCGAAGTCAAGTATTTAAATCTTAAATTTAACCTATAAAACACTCCGGGAAGATGGTGTGAGAAAAAAAAAATAAAAAAATCTATCAAAAATTCTCCCAGGTCATCATTTTATAGAAACTTGCCAATCATATTATTATGTCTGAAAGTCCTTTATACTGGCCAACATCATACATGTATTTTTTGGAATATTGGCACCACTTTTGAAAATAATTAGACCATAATTGATATGTTAATGAGGTACAGAATGTAATAGAAAACTATACGTGTAAAGAGTAATTAGCTGCCCATTAGAAAGTTATACCGTCAATCTGGTTCTTCGTGGAAATCCAACCTAGCGTCCAGTAACTCAGAAATATCTGCAGGTCCAGCTGTGACAAGGTGTAAATGAACTCTCGCTCAGAACAAGTGATATTTTCACCCAAATGCTCGCGGCCCATAGTCCCCGAGTGACAAATTGACCAGGGAATCTGTTGAATGGTAAAAAGTGGAGACTGGAGCAGGAAGATAAAGCCCTGCATGGACCTGTAATGAGCGATAAAGCAGTTTTTCAATCAGTCTTTCTTTCAGGGGTAAAAATCTCTGGGCAATTACGTCTGTCTTTACAGCGACATTTATGTCTGTGCTGGTTGTGTTTGATTCAAAAGAGCATTGCTTTTAAATGTAATACTATGATTGTTTTGCTGATTGAGTCGCACTAAATCAACACAGGCTGAATGTATCCAGGTGCTTTTATCTCTGCATGAGGTGCAGGAGCACACACAGCAGCAGCTCCCACCATTTCTTTTTACAGATGCACATTTTATTACTAAGCACTTTCAGAGAGAAAAAAACTATTTTGCTTTGGTTACATATGCAAATTATCACTGTATAGCTGTGATTATGCATATGTCGAAACAAGCATTAAAAGGACACCATACAGGATTAGAAACACTGCTGTAGGGTATATGTAGTACTTTTCTTAGTATTAACAAGAGAAAACAACATAATGGATAAAGGATGAGGTTTGTTTACTTTTGTAATTGATTTAATCACACAATTCCATATATAGCATATATGTATCTGTGGTAAGAAAGCTCTTGCTAGTCAATGTAATTTCGGTTAAATCGAAATCAATATACACATACTATATCACACCACATTAGTACATTTCACTTACAATTGGATAGATGTTGACATTCCTTTCTTAACTTTGCAGCCTGTATAGACCCACTACCTCACCAAAAGTCTGTCACCAATTCCTCTGTGTGTGTTTTCAGGTCCCAGACAGGAGCAATAAGCCCAACCCCCTATAATGCAGTAATAAGCCTAAATTTTGGCGGGAACCCACTTCACTGCAACTGTGAGCTGCTGTGGCTGCGGCGGCTCGTCAGGAGAGATGACATGGAGACATGTGCAACGCCTCTGCATTTGGCGGGAAAGTAAGTCACGGTTTTCAGTGTGGATGATATTGTAAATATTGTGCTTTGTCATAGAAATTTTAAACATAAGACAAGCTGCTTTCTGAGCGTGGACTGTAGACGTGGACTAACCCAGTGCTGCGAATGTTTGCCTAATGCATAAGAAGCTGTTTAGAGCTAGCTTGAGCATGCTCCTATGGCAGGAATCTGGAGCCAAAGAATGAATGTAGCAACAGCCTAGCAACCAAAGAGCCAATCAGAAAGCACCGGATTGGTCAAAAGTTAGGGCTCATAACTGGATTTACAAAGACAATATCAATACATTATCATAAGAGCAAAAAATATTTTTATATTTTGTGACACTGATTTTTTTCTCACTTTTCTAAATCTCTTAATTCTCACATATTGAAATGGTTACAGAGTGAAAAGATGTAAGCTAATAGTGGCACAGTAAATTGGAACAAACATTTGCACATGAGCACTTCCCTACTAGCATTGTCCAACTAGATACAGTCCATGTTTCTGAGTTATATAAAAAGATAATGCAGGATTGGACAAAAAGATATTCTTAAAAGGAAATATTTTTCAAGAGTATCCCGAATCAATATGGACAGGAGAAATTCATGGATTAATTCAAAGTCACATTATAGTGCTTTTGTTGAAGCCACTTCGCTCTGGGGTAGGATGGACCATCATCAGCTGGGCGATCTACATCACCAGCTCCTCTGTTGACTTCCCTCATTCACAAGTCTTATTTGTGTGGGGGACACAAGTGCAGGAGACCGTATGCAAAGGGGCTTTAGAGCAGCTTGTGTACAAGTCTCTCCATGGCCTCGCACCGAAATACATCCAGGACATGTTAGTGCCATATGAACCAGGGGGACTGGCCTTCTGCTGGTGCCCACAGGACAGACAGGACTAAACATGGGGAGGCAGCACTTCAGATTTATGCAGCTAAAATCTGGAACAGTGTTTTTGAAAATGGGAGACAGGCTTTTACTGACTCTAACCATGTTGAAATTCAAGTTAAAAATAGTTTGGTTTAGTTGCGCAAACAACGGAAGGATTTTATCTCCAGGATTTGTATGTACTCGTGTGTAATGTGAATGCCTTACACTAGAGTTTCTTGCTTTTTGTTAATCATTTGGAGTGACTATGTATGAAAGATTCTATACAAATAAACTTGCCTTGTTATATGCTGGGTTTTATGCTTAGGAAATTGGATGTCGAGAAAAAGGACTGATTGTGCTGTCACGCTGATTTCTAGACTAGTTTCCCAGGATTAATTCAGTCTTTTTCTTTTCTTTTCTCAATTTATAATTATTTGTGAAAAATACTAACTTTAAAGAATGGAAGTATGTTTGTTAAATTAGCAAACAAATATAGCAATATTCAGCACAGTTTAATGAACAATCTTTGATGTTTCATAAAATATTGTTCAGTGACAAAGTAGGACCTATCCCGGAGGCTTTAGTTGCTCATTAATAGACAAACAGTTTTTCAGATCTGGCGCTATGGACAAAGTTGCTGTGTGATTTTCCTATTTGTTTGAAGTCATGCACTCGTACTTAAAAGACGTGTAAACAAAAGATTGAGGACAAAATTGAACATCTGCTGCTGTCGTCTGTCATCACTGTCACCTTTAATTACTCTTTGTTTAGCACGGCTTTCTGGCACGCAAATAAGGAAAACGCTCTGACTCGTGTCTGGAAATTAACTCCCAGCTTAATGTGACGGGAACAGCACATAGATCTTTAGGTGAATATCAGTCTGTCAACCCAGAACTCAGTGGAGCTGTTTTACCCAGAGCCATTCATCAGGCTGCAACAAAAATGCCTTCACTGTTGGGTGAAAGCTATCCTGGGAAACCCATGCTGCTGTGTGCACTCAAATAATTTTAAACTGCACGAAAGCATGGAAACTCTGCCCGAATTATTCACAGAATGGGGGGTCTGAGGGTGGGATGGGGAGGACCAGCAAGAAGATCATGCACTATTGGACAGACGGAAGATTGTATATTGTTTACGTATCCAACATTGCCATCTTTCTCATGTTTAACTCGGACAAATGGCTGTAATCGTTCTGCACCATTGTGTAAACAATTTTTTTTGTCACTGGGTGAGGAATAATGAGTCTTGTTCGTCCCAACAAGTAAATACAGTACATAGATATATTATATATAAAATCACTTATTCTTCCCTGTTCTAAATGTCCCTTGATTTGGTTTGAAAAGGTATTGAAAAAATAAGGATATACTTTATTAATCCAATCCTCTCCAAAGAAGTATTTGGATTGTCTAACAGTGACAGAGATTGACTGGCTCTGCAAGCTTTTCTTATTGCTTTTTTACAGTGAACAGAACTATTGAACAACAATTACATTTTCTAATAAAGGCTACTCTTTTGTTTATGCTTTCATTGAAGTAACTTTATATGACGATCACGCGCGGTGAGAATATCTTTAGTTTCAAGGATTGGACTTACCTCCAATTAGTTGTGTCTCAAACAGCGATGGGGCTGATTTCAGATACGTTCCTGTGGTAGAGGCTTGGAGCACTAGACACTCTGACGAGCAAACTCTGTTCTCTCTTAAAACTTATGGGTAATGTAGTCTCATGCTCTTGGTGAGACAAAGTAGGAAGCATGCAATGTAAAAAGGTGCTCTGAATAGCAGCAGAGTAGCTTAAAAATTAAAAGGAATGTGCAAATGAGCATACCAGTACGCCAAAAGCGTACAGGTTATTGGAATATAGGTTATTGCCTGTGCACCAGGCAATAACTGAAATGTGGTCTTTTTCAGGTACTTCTGGTCAATTCCTGAGGAGGAGTTCACGTGCGAACCGCCGCTCATCACACGCCACACTCACAAGCTATGGGTGCTGGAAGGGCAGCGGGCCACCCTAAAATGCCGTGCCATAGGAGACCCAGAACCCGTCATCCACTGGGTCTCCCCTGATGACCGCATTGTGGCCAACACAAGCAGAACCAGCTCCTTCAGCAATGGGACCCTGGATATCTTAGTCACGGTCGCCCGGGACGACGGTGCGTATACCTGCATTGCGATAAACGCGGCGGGAGAGGCTACCGCCACTGTGGATTTGAAAATAATACCATTACCGCACAGAGGAGGCGCAAGTGGGAACGGAGGGAATAACAACGCGAAAAACAATAGGAATGTTACCAGTGGGATTTTACGCACCGACCCCGGCTCTTCGGACATCAGCACAGGGAAAAATGGAGGTATAAACAACAGCGGGAGAGGCGGGGAAGCGGAGGAGGAGAAGAAGTCTACGACCGAAGAGGAGGACGGAGCAAAGGGATCGGATGGAGGGAGTATGGAGGAAGAAGAGGAGGAGCAGAGCCGTATGGTGGGGGTCCAGGGGGTCACGTCAACTTCGGCGCAGGTCCGCTGGGATATGGGACCTCTTTCCGGAGGTTACGTTGTGTGGATGTACCAGATTCAATACAACTGCACTGCAGACGAGACCCTCATCTATAGGTGAGTGCAGCTTCCATTGATTTTTATATTTCTTTTCTAAAGTCCAGCATTCATTCAGGGATTAGTATCGTTCAGAGTGTGCCCATGCATAATTCAATACAAATGCATAAATAATGGCATTTTTAATTTGATTTTGTCCAAAATGCAGGCGTCCCCTAACCTAATGCTTAGCAATAATACAACATTATTAAAGGCATTCTATTCAAAGATAGAGGTACATCTCATGGTTCCATTTTCAACAATGCATAAATCTCTGACATTACAAAATATAATAAAAAATCAAATCAACAAAATACAAAATATATACTATGCCTACTATTTTATTTGGTACATGCACAAAGCATCAGTGTTTGTTTTGGTCCATAATGATTGTATTTGCCCAAAATAGTCTTGGAGTTTCAGTCACATCCTGCCTTTATCTTTTTCTTATTAGAAAACATGTTATATTCTCGATACTGAGATCTGATTGGCTGACTGAGGTAGAACAAAACTGTTTTTAGAGCTAGGAACTAGTTGGATGTAGTTGTGTGGTTTCAAGTTTGGATCATGGCATTGGCATTTGGAACATGAAGCCAAACAGTGTGATTCCACTTCAAGCTTCAATATCATAAAACTTGCGGTCATAACTTTAGACCCTCATGTTGGAAATCCTGGTTTAAAGGTGTTAAATTATTCCTTTATTACATGGTATCTTCAGCGAGGCAACAGTTCACCCTGTTCCTAAAACAGGCTAGGAGCTTCTGCGAGGCCAGAACAGGCGAACAGATAACAGGTTAAATAATTCATCTCCATCAGTGTTCGACACGCAACAGGTGTGTGGTCGCTGCATAAGTAGGACCCCAGCGTGAATATTGAACAGGCAGAGAGGGAGAAGAAGATGGCATTCCTTCAGGACCTAGAGCTGTCAGGAATTTGTCAGGAATGGGATTAATATGCAACTTGTCATATTTGGGACATACTATTATATAACGTTATTATCCCACACAACACACACACACATATTTCAGGTCAATATTTTTTAATCCATAGACTGTATATTAGTGACTGACTGTTTCACGCTGTAATAGGCGCAGATTTGTTGCTAAGATGATAGCTAAAGTCTTCCCTGAAAATGAAGGCCTCTAATTGGCCAATCCTTGTATGTCTCATTTCCCGCAAGATAATTTCAAAATATAAACACAAGGATCAACAGAGAGCACTAAACCACAGATATGTTAAGCCCAAAAATGGTTAGTGTGACCCAAACAGTTTCTAAGCTGAATGAGTCAATGGGATGCAGAGCAAGTTGAAACAAAACTCGACTTTCCTACTCAACTTCATTGAGTTCAGGGATTAGACTTGTCCATCTTTATATAGCCTTTGCTCTGAAGCATTATTGATATAGAAGAAATTGCATATGAGACGCTGCATGCCAATTTATTTACATAAATTGTATGCCACTGTGACCTTGTGTTTATAATGACAATGGCTGCTGCAGATTGTCATTCATTAATTTCATTTATTTATGTCATGCATAAAAACAGCACTCAAATGTTGTAATTTACAGTTTTTACAAAATACATGTACAAAATACAGACATACATGCACACACAAACATTGTAGGCTTTCCCTTTGGGCACTCCTGTAGAACCCACCAAAACTAAACACAGAAATACACAAAACACAATCGAAACTCTAATCTCTTTAAAATGTGTGTTTATTTAAATAATTGCATGATTCAAGTATGTTACATAGAAAATAAATATGCAACGCCCAATTGAATGAATTAGTAACTGTGTGAAAACTGGTCCAGCCCTTGACAATATTCAAATGTGGCCCCCCGGAGAAAATAATTGCCCAGCTCTGGACAAAAGGCTACTCAAAGAACATGAATAGAAATCAAGAACAAAAGACGTGTATAAAAACCATCCATAATTAAACGTAACGGCAAAATTCTCAGAGCCTGACTGGGATTCTAGTCTTGTAGGTGGTGGGTCCACTGGAAGATGGCTGCTGTGTCTTGCCCAGTGACATAATGACAGCAGACATCGATGGGAGCCGTTGGAGCAGGTCTCAAACCCACAACCTCCACCCCCAAAGCCCAATGCTCTACCAACTGAGCCATTGTCACCCCAAATTAAGAAAATTCTAAGAAAAGTCCTTATTAGGAAATGCATAAATAAACCAACCACCTGGAACATGTGGGATAATGTTTGGTCAGGTGAAATTGAGCATTACATAAGCTGCCTTCCACATGTGCTACCACTTTAGTCTTAATAATAATTAGCTTTTTGCATCTTGGTTGAAAATAGTAAAAAGGTATTTTTTGCAGGAAGGGAAAATTGCGTGCCAATCACTGCTGAGAGGCAGTGCACGAGTGAGCCAACTTTGTATAGCGCAGCTGTGGGCCCCGCAAAAGGCGTGAAAGAGCAATATTGGTGTTTATGGGAACTGAAGGCAGGCAGAAAGATTAGACGAGAGGAACAAATTAAAGCAAACACTGGCTGTAAAACAACCCTCGCACATTTGCATAAAAACTATGGATCCACAGAGTTACTTGTGCAATGTGCAAGAGATAAAAAGAAAAAAAAAACATGAGCAAGCTTATTAGCATGCTTTGGAGTAAGGAATGTACAGACCGGAGGCTTTTGAGTGAGGCATTGGTTATAGAGTAACAAATATGATATGTAAGACTGCAACTGTTGTGTCTGCGGGTAACTAGTTTTAGAATCCCGTTTTGATATTTTTTCATTTACCAAAGCACTTTTCTGGTAGAGGTTACGGCCACCTTTTTGTCACCATGGAGATGTATCACACTCCTTTCAACATTTATTTCCCAACAGATAATTTTCTCCCCTAAATACACTGGAAACACATCGTAGGGCTGCCTTCACATGCTTGACACAAATAGAGATATAGATTTAATGTTATTCTCCAACATCGTTTGAAAAGAAACAGAAGCTGAAGTTTCTAACAGCATCTTTGCCACAACAACTAAAAATGCAAACAAGAAAAGTGACAAGGGAACGATACATTTGGCTTTTTTGGAAGTGATGCAGAATTTTTGAGATTGTGCTCTTCCACTTATATCGGCCGACTTGTTATCAAACTACCCAAACATGACTTTTTTCTTATTTCAAACAAATAGATCAAATATAATTAGCCACAATGCAAAAACAGTACAAAACAGTTTTGTGAGGCAGGCAACACGTGTATTGTAAAAATCAACAACATTTACATTTGGTGGAGCGAAGTTGCCTGAATGATGATTTTTGCACTAACTTTAAATCTAGAGATTCTAAACCTTAAGAAAATAACTGTAGCTAAAATTGGCTCGGGCATCTGTTCCGGATGCCTCCTGGACGCCTCCCTGGGGAGGTGTTCCGGGCAAAACCCAGGACCCCGGGGAAGACCCAGGACACGCTGGAGGGACTATGTCTCTCAGCTGGCCAGGGAACGCCTTGGGGTCCCCCCGGACGAGCTGGAGGAAGTGAGTGTGGATAGGGAAGTCTGGGCGTCTCGGCTTAGACTGCTGCCCCTGCGACCCGGCAACGGATGAAATGGAAGAGAATGGAATGAAATTAGCTTGTCTATGGGCTTGCGTTAGCATTATCTTTTGTAGATTATACTTATCCTTAAAGAAGCTATACCCGATTTTTTTTCTAAGTAGTTCATAAAAATGCTTTTTACTACATACAAGTTGTATCATAATACATAATTTAATTGAAAACTTGAGGTCATTGATTCCACTGTGTATGAAATTCAGGCAGTAAAAAGTGCTGAGTAGAGTCTGAGCGGGCCGCTCTTTCTCCTCCGCTCACAGAACAAGCAGCGAACAGCCTGCGTCCTCTAGCCCCTACAGCGCTGCTTAACACCAGGGCTTCGACTTCAAAATTCGAATATAATTCTAAAATAAAAAATATATACATATTTGAACAAATATTAGACAACCCTTATAATTAGAAATGTATTTAATGACTGCAAATAAAATAGTTAGCCCCCAAAGGTTTCACCGGGACGTGCTAGGCAGGTAACAGCTAAGCTAGCTAGCCGTTTCATGGTAACTTCCGGGTTTTTCGCGATCGCTTTTTGTCACTTTAAAACAGTATTTTTGTCATGAAAACGTTGACAGCAAATTCTGAAACAGTCCGTGCATGTGTGTTAAGGATGTATCTGTATACTGTATTGTCCGATTGACGTTTAATGGTGTTGATTGATAGATATGTGTTTGTTTATCGAGCGTGGCTAGCTCCGCTAGCTTCTCTACACAGACGAGTGTGCAGAAAAACTGCACAGTGCAGTGACAGGCGCTGATAGCTTGTTGTACTTGCAAAGTAATGGCAGTATTTTACCCACCTGAATTACAAACAGATTGCATTGGGGCTGCGGTCATTATTGGTTTGAGAGTTCTGTTATCAAGAAAAAATGATCGGAAGAATTGCATTCAAGTCAATGGAGTGTTCTGCTGCTGTGAGGAGCTGTATAATAAATTATAATTAAATATTAGAATATATTCTAATGTTTAAATTAATACATCCGGACGCGAAACTAATGGTATTCTTTTACTTATATATTGTGTTAGCAGTGCGTTGTTTTAGTACCATTTCATCAGTGATTGTTGTACAGCTTACAAGTTGCGCTAATGCTAATGTTAGCATACGTATCAGATCACAAATAAAACTAGGTGGCTCCGTGTTATGAGAGCGTAGGGGAAATGAGAAGCCTGTGAGCGAGTTGGGGGGCGGTGCTAAACATTCAAACATTGCAGAAACGGGTATAGCGCCTTTAATGTAATTTTACATTTTAATGAATTATGAGGACTTTAAAAATTAAGTAAAACATGTCTATATTGGATTAAGTTAGACTGAAGGAGTTGGGGGCTCATTGGAGGCAACTTCCAATTATTCAAACACCTTGCATAACAGATGTCAATAGCAGCTCTATATTTGGAATGCGCATGTGCAGGTGGTCACGTGAAAGAAGCAATAAATAAATAAAAAGACTGGAGTGAGGTGAATGCC